TATTTACCAAATCTAGATATAGTTTGTTATACAGGGTGATTCAGGAGGAAAGGTCAATATTTTGGGAGATGATAGTATCGGTCATTTTGAGCAAAAATGTTCATATGAATGTATGTCCTATTCCCCACTGTTTCCGAGATAGAGCTACTTGAATGTACAATTACAAAATTACTGACAATAAAGAAATACTACGTACTATTTCTAATATTTATTGTTCAAGTAATTTTTTACAAATTATAATAAATTTTCAAAAATTCCACCGTTAACATTAATGCACTTTTCAACTCTTGTATGAACATGGCGTGTTGCTCGTCTGAGTACACCGTGACGTTCCTTTATGCGGGCACTAGCATCCATTATTTGAGCAAGCAGTTCACCTTGTGTATTCACTTTCTTCTGTAGATTTAACTCTTCATCCAACCCCATAAACAAAAATCCAACGGGGTTAGGTCTGGAGATCTTTGTGACCAATTAATGGCACTGCCATGACCAATCCACCGATTAGAGAAAGTGGCGTTGAGGTGTTGCATCACAAATCGGGTATGATGAGGAGGAGCTCCATCATGCTAAAAGTACATAACACGGCGTGTTATGTACTTTTAGCATGATGGAGCCAAAGGAACGTCTTCTAGTTGTTCTAGTAGTGCATGTAGCAGAAATTCCAGGTAATTATGTCCTCATACGATCTTCTAAAGTTCTAAACTAACGAAACCTATCAACGTGCCATCGATAATACCACACTACACATTGATAGAGAAACGCCTTTGAAACTTTGTTTCCACAATACAATGTGGATTTTCATGAGACCATTGATGATTGTTAAATTACTTGAACAATAAATATTAGAAATAGTACGTAGTATTTCTTTATTGTCAGTAATTTTGTAATTGTACATTCAAGTAGCTCTATCTCGGAAACAGTGGGGAATAGGACATATATTCATATGAACATTTTTGCTCAAAATGACCGATACTATCATCTCCCAAAATATTGACCTTTCCTCCTGAATCACCCTGTATTATAACTATAAATTACCTATGAACCAAAAGTTCGCCTATCCGATGAACGGCTTCTCGATATCGCTGTTGGAACTCACCAAGGCCTTGTAAAGAAGTGCCCATGGCAGTTTCTGCAAACGCACATGTAAAAGTATGACAATATTAATATACCAACATATATTTGCAGAGTTCTTGTGTATGTAGAAATTATTTTTGGGTCGGTTATAATATTTTTAATAAATATTCTATCGTACGGAAGACACGTGTCTTATATTATTTGTTAATGGGAATAAAATTCTCTACGGTTATTTACATAATATCATACCACATATTGCATTCAGCGTATGTTCACTAATAAACGGCATTAAATCTTTCACAACTGCGCCTTCTGTACTTTTCAAAGACTTGATCATGTCGTTGCCTTCTTGAATAAAAATCCCAATAAACTGCTGCAATATATTAAAATGAAATGCAGGGGTTAATATCTTCCGACGTGAATGCCATTTTGAGCCTAAAACACAAGCAATATTAGGCATAATTATGAGGTAACAATGTAAAATACATATTGTGAGAAAGTTTATATTTTTTAAATTTAATTTTAAATTCATAGAATCTTAATAACTGTTGTTTACACTTCCAGTTTATTCTTTCTTTGTGTGCAGCGTTTAAACTTTGAGAATAACACATTGTATGATTTAAGATACAAAAATATTCTTTATAATACATTTGCATTTTTTTCATAATATTTTATGTGCTTAGCATTTATTAGCATAATTTATTATATTTACTAATATTTACGAGGGCGGTTCAAATATGATCGAGACAAACGCTGTAGATGGCGCGCCTGTATGTTTTGAAGGTCGCGGCTTGAGTATATGATAGCTGGGTCCCTTACAAACAGTGTGGCATAGTTTTCGTCGCGAACGCACGTTTCACGCGCGTGTTACGACCATGAGTGAACGTCAAGTGCCGACCGCCTGAGTACAGGCACTCACTACCGAACTGATTTCGCAAACGCCGAAGAATTTCCGTGTTTTTAACGCCTTCCCATACCAAAAAACGAATGACAATACGTTGCGCAACGGCGGTCGGCACTTGACGTTCACTCATGGTCGTATCACGCGCGTGAAACGTGCGTTCGCGACGAAAACTATGCCACATTGTTCGTAAGGGACCCAGCTATCACATACTCAAGCCGCGACCTTCAAAACATACAGGCGCGCCATCTACAGCGTTTGTCTCGATCATATTTGAACCGCCCTCGTACATTAATTATTTTCGTAATTGATATAAAATATTGAAAATTTTTGAAAATTCAATAGCTATTAATATATCATTTTGAATGAAGACAATCGATTGGTAAAAATGAAGTAAAATTTGTTTAAAAGACGATCCTCTTGTGTGTTAATGTTCGTCCAATCCAATATAATTGAGAATATAAGTATATCTTATCAAAATCATTTCTCAAATTGAATTTCACGCATTTACATTCATATCTCAAAGTTTTACACTTATTACTGTACCATATAAGCAGTAGAATATTATTATGCAATCTTATCAGTTATAATACTTTATTATCAATAAAATTAAAAAATTATAATACAAACAATAAAAATTAAAATACATAAGTATATATGAATCATTATTTATTATTTGTACATTATTTATGGGAGTATAACATATATCTAGAAGCGTAAAAAATAGTTATGTTATTTCTCATAATTAATTTTCTTATTGTTAGATTGATTAATTAATACTATTAATAGTTTTAGGATTATCGAAGCGTGGTTTTGACAGTATGTTATATATTCCTGAAAAAATATCGGAAAAATAGGACTATTTTTGGCGCTTGTAGGTG